ATTTGTGGTCTAATCATGAAATGGCATTTTCACAAAAAGATAATGCCACATCCTTCTAGACTTATTTCCATGTTTCTTAAAAGGAGATGTTAATGACTCATTGCTGTAATTAGCCATGGCTGAAACTTGCCAATCTTATCTTAATATAAATTTCTGCCCTCTCATTCCGTAAATCACTTAAAATTAAACAATAAAGTAGGGGTCAACCTAAAAGCAGCCATTTCACCGTCATACAGTACTGTGCTTGGGACAATACAGTCTGTATCATTATGATTTGTATCAGGCTTGGCCTCTTCGTTATTAGTGATAATTTCGGGCATTAGTCGGTATCAGAGCCGGCGACGCGGACGAGAAACACGGGCCTACCACGTTTTACTTTCATCAGAGAACTCAAATACATTACACAAAGCAGTAACACCTCGTTGTTGTCTCTCTTCACCGTTACTCCTGACAACAAGGTATGGCTCGAATGTATTCGCAGACTTCTTCTCTTTGAGTTGAGCATCAGCATCATCCCCGTAAGCTGTTACGTCGGGTCTCGGCTCAAAATCTTCCGCGAACTTCTTCTCTTCGAGCCTGGTGTCATCCCCATAAGCTGTGATGTCGGGCCTCGGCTCGAAATCCTGCGCGAACTTCTTCTGTTTGAGCTTGGCATCGTCCCCATAAGCTGTGACATCAGGCCTCGGCTCGAAATGCTGCACAAACTTCTTTATTTTGAGCTTCGCATCATCCCCATAAGCCGTGACACCGGGCCTCGGCTCGAAATCCTGCGTGAACTTCTTCTGTTTGAGCTTGGAATCGTCCCCATAAGCCATGACGTCATGCCTCGGCTCGAAATCCTTCGCAAATTTCTTCTCTTTGAGCTTGGCATCGTCCCCGTAAGCCGTGATGTCGGGCCTCGGCTTGAAATCACCGGCGAATCATTTATGGTCCTCTAGTTTGTTGTCTCTGTGGTAGTCGGCCTCCTCGTTCTTGGGGAGAGAAGTGAGATGAGGCTGATCTGATGCAGGGTTGATCACATGGGGGAGGCCTTCAATTGCTCCTGGCATGGGCTCTTCTTTCATGATGCTTACCCAGTACTCACCCGGGTCTGTTCTTGCATCTGTTGTGCCTGTGAACTGAAAAGGTAAACATAGAAATTTGACAGGTGACAAAATGAATCTGGAACCCTATTTTTCTTCAGAAATTTTATCTTAGTTTAACTGGAAACTTCTATGGTTGGAGAGTTTCTAGTTGGTTTGACAGTATTCAACAATGTGTGATCTAAAGGAGGAGCATGAGAGCGCATGGAAAAGCTTACGATGAGAACGGCGATGAACACGGTGAAAGATACTTGAGAATTCATCTCTCTCTCTCTCTCTCTCTCTCTCTCTCTCTCTCTCTCTCTCTCTCTCTCTCTCTCTGTTTGAGCTTCTCTCTTTGAAGAGGAGTATGCTGTTCTAAGTCGGTACTATTTATAGGAGATGTTCCAACGGATAAAAGGGCCCCTTTGTTAGTCTTCTTCTTTAAGAGTATGAGATCGTGGGTTTGCACACGGTAATCATAGAATTGCAAGGAATTGGACTCTCCCTTGGTGATCTCTCTAGATGAGGTATTGGGCTTCTTGTTAAAGATTTTGTAATGTGAATATATATAAACAGAAGAGTCCCACATAAGAAAAACAGAAGGAAAGTATTTGGTCTAACTATAAAAACACCTATGAAAGGATTGTTTGAAAGGCTGGGCTCTCAAGTCGACATTGCGCATTGGATATGCCTAATTTTATTCTTGACTAGGCACTTAGAATTTAACCGTTCGGTCCAATTTACTACTTTTGTTGTTCTTATGCAACATATTCCTTCATTCAGAAAAGTCGTTTTCTAGGGGCATTATCGCCTTAGGAAAGTGATTTCACACGCCTCTTAGCCGACCAATTCTGTTTTCCGAACTACTTTTACTTTACTTCTATTGTGTCGACCCAAGTGCTTTATTCGAGTCTTTGGCATCAAGATTGCGAAATTATATGAAATATACTCTTGTTAACTAATGAACTAAAAGAGGAGAAATAGGAGCTAAATAAAACATTTTGGATTTATAAAAGTATATTAATGCATGAGCAAAAACTAATGGATTCATAATCTTAGGAGACAAGGACACAAACAGTTAATTGATTTTTGTACAGCGTTCACTTTGGTACCATAATTTTTTAAGTGGTCATTTAAATGTCAGTAAATTTTACAAGCAAATCACTCAAGTCATATTGGCAATTTTCTTGCCAAATCTAAATTTTTTTCACATTCATATATTTTAGGATCTAGAACTCATGATTCGTGCGAGAAAGCATAAACTTATAAGTAGATTATTATTATCTTTATGTTTTAGATTAGGAGCAAGAGAACCCCACTTGACCAATAAGGGTTAGGTGAAGATACAATAATGCGAAGATCCAGGTTGATGAGATATGGTTTTAGCGATGATGACAAGCTAGCCAAATTTATAAAATCTGTCATTTGTCATGTACCATATAAATACATATGTACATGTTGTCAAGTTTATATTTAAATTAACGCGAAACATGTGAGGTCCATGAGGCAGAGATGCATCATGCATGAATTGATGAAATAAAATTTGTTACAGCTAATGCCGTTCCATTGTAATGGAGCCCAGTTAATCCCATCCACACATACATCAATTGTTATGCCTAAAATGAATTTTACACCTGACATATAGTCAGTACTGTGGAAGCAATTGCTAGGGTTTTTCTCCAAAATGCCCTTATTATGATTTGAACCCGATCACTCAGAAACCTAATTGAAACCCTAACTCTAGTCCCAACCAAACTTCTCTACCATCTTTTTGCCCTGCCGCCGCAGACAGATATGATCGTTGCCCCCGACATTAGCGCATTCAATTGAATAATCATAGTGTTTGTTACTTCCATCGTTGTTTAATGAAGTGTTCCGTGAGCAATGCGCTCCGATGAACACGCCATGTATGAGAAAGGACTTTTCGCGATATATTAGAAGCATGCGTTCTGGGTCGTGCAATGAAGGCTCAGCTTGCCTCCTAATTATGCTTTTTCAGCTCATTTCTTTGAATCCGGTTTACTCTATCATAAAAACTAGTGAAAACACCAGCAGTGGAAGTTTAGGAGCAAAAGCTTTCTCCCTTAGAGGTGATAGTGATATGTCCGGATTCCAGATTGTGGGTCAAGTTTGGGTTTCATTGAAAAATAGGGTTAAAACGAGTTTGACATTTAGGCTTACGGAAAAATGAATGATTTAAAAAATATTTTACTAAAATTACTTTTGCAAGTGATACAAGCGATCATTACTTTTCTGCCAAACAAATGAAGGCTTAGGTGACGAGTATCCCAAATCTCAAACTCCACTAGGATATAGCTGAAGAAATCATTTTTCCCCTAAAGTAGACTACATAATTGAAGTTATTGTGCAATATATTTGTCCATTAATTATTTTAATTCGAAATAAACAGAAAATTTATTAATTAATTTTTTTCAATATCCGGTATACTCATTGGATATATTTGGAAATTCATTAAAATTTAAAAAAATATCTTAGGGTTTGGAATGTTTTGGGTTCTCCTCAGGACTGGTCGGTCTTCGAGTTTGAGATATGACCCATCATCCTTAACCAGCTCCGCTGCCATTCGTATCTTCCTTTTCTTTTCTTTTCTTTTCACTTGCTAGAATTAGACTCCATTTGATTCGAAAAATATTTTCTTGAAAACAATCGCTTGTATCGCTTACAAAAATAAATAAGCGAAAAAATATTTTCACCGTCCACGAAAATGTTTAGATATATATTGTGATTGATAACGAGAATATTTTTTATTAATTAATTATTTCAAGCGATACAAATGATTATTTTTAGGTAAATATTTTTTAAATTATTCATTTTTCTCGAAATAAATGGAGTTTTAGACTTTGAGCACTTGATACTGGCATTGCACACCACAGATGAAGGACTTCGCTATAGATTTTTAAATCATCACTGCGCTGGCAAAGCTATCAAGTACCCTAATAAGTCACCAAAACAAAGTTTCCCGACCCTACAATCTTACACTTGATTGCTGTGGTGATTGATAAGATTGTAACTACAATGGTCATTATGACAATGATAGAATGAAACTGTAAGTACTATTACATTGAGTTTGAACTCTTTGTTGTGATTGTAGCGTGTAAAGTATTTTCTTTTGTCGAGATATCTGGTAAAGTCAAGGTTAGCACCCTCAAGCCAAATGCATGGCGCGATCCAGTCACATCGCGTCAAGTATGCTCGATTGTTTTCCAATTCTTTGACAAGTTTTTAACCTTCTTCAACATCTATAATCTATAAACCGTGAACTAAAATAGACTTTTGTTCATTGAATATCCTTTTCTTTTTTTCTATACTAAAATTGATTTTTGTGAAATTGGATTACCAAAATCTTATCTAATCCTATAATGTATATAAAAGAAGGATTCTGCGCATTAATTAAAAGGAAATTTTCTTCTTTTTGTCTCCATACTTTCACTCTTTCTTTAATCGCGTTCTTATATTTTTAATTCGATTTATTAAGTCCATATGCTTTAGCAAATTTTCCAATCAAATCCTTCCAACACTAATTTTGGCCGAATTCAGTTGAGGTGGCCATCGAATGACACCGAAGTATGATGTATATAAAAATATGCCGATGCTCACATGAACTTGCGTGAAAAAATTTAGCAAATTTAGAGAACATTAGACAATGATGTGGATAAAATTTAGCCAATACGGACGCTCACGTGGACGTTTATTCCCCTTCATCTTATTTTTCTGTTGGATTTAGTCTTAATTCATGGTCAGTTGACATTGGATGGAGTGATCATGATTATCTTGCCTGTAGGTTTTTCCAAATTGGTGTCAGCCTTAGATTCTTCTTTCTTTGATTCTTCTCTCTTCTCGAGTGATTTGTTCCTGCATTGGTTGGTATCAGAGCCGACCATGCGTATGAGCAAGTATCAACTGGAAACATAGGCCTTTTAAAACCACGTTTTATTTTCACCATAGAACTCAACTACTGCCATAGAGCAGAGCAGGAGAATTTGAAAGACAAATTGACAGCCAGACCAACGGAACCCGCCACACCCCATACGATTGCCATAGCCGGACATCAGCTCTATTCGAAGAATTCCCCGGCTTTGACGACACGCGCGTTCACATTACATTGCAAAATTAAGTACATCACACAAAGCAGTAACACCTTATTGTCGTCTTTCTTCACCTTTAGTCATCACCATACGCCGAGATATTGGGCCGTGGCTTGAAATCTTTGGCGAATGACTTCTCCTCTTTGAGCTGAGCATCATCCCCGTAAGCCGATATGTTTGGTCTTGGCTCGAAATCTTCCCTGAATTTCTTCTGTTTGAGCCTGGTGTCACCCCCATAAGCCGAGATGTTGGGCCTCGGCTCGAAATCCTCTGAGAACTTCTTCTCTTTGAGCTTGGCATCGTCCCCATAAGCTGAGATGTTGGGCCTCGGCTCGAAATCGCCGGCAAATCTTCCATCGTCCTCTAGTTTGTTGTCTCCATGGCAGTCGGCCTCCTTCTCGGAGAGAGAAGTGAGATGAGGCTGATCTGATGCAGGGTTGATAGCATGGAGGAGGCCTTCAATTGCTTCTGGCATGGGCTCTTCTTTCATGATGCTCACCCAGTACTCACCTGGGTCTTTTCTTGCATCTGTTGTGGAAGTGAACTGAAAAAGTAAACATAGAAATTTAATGACTGATATAATGGAAGAGTCATAAAAGGGTCAATCATCCATTAATCTGGAACTCCATTCTTCTTTAGAAACTTTTTTTCTTATTTGAACTGGATAATTCTATGGTACTAGTTTGGTTTGACAGTAATCAACAAGGTGCTATCTAAAGGAGAACAATGAGAGCGCATGGGAATGCTTACGATCAGAATGGCGACGACGACCAAGAAAGATACTTGACAATGCATCTCTCGCTCTGTGTTTGAGCTTCTATTTTTGAAGATGAGAATGCTGCTCTAAGTCCGTTCTATTTATAGGAGATGTTCCAAAGAATAACAGGGCATCAAGGCATGGCGCAAGCAACGCACTCATGGCAATTGGTATTGTTCAAACTGATTATTTTAGTCTCGGAATTAATTTAGAGGCCCCCTTTGTTACTCTTCTTCTTTAACAGGATGGGGCCGGGGGTCAACTCACGGAAGTCATAGAATTGCATAAATTTTGTACAAGGACTTAGACCCTCCCTCGGTGATCTCCCCAAATAAGGTGTCGGGCTTCTTATAACAGAGTTCGTAATGTGAATATGGAAAATAAGAGTCCCGCATAAGAACAATAGGAGGAAACTATTTGGATTAAATATGAGAACACCCAGGTAATGAATATCTGAAGGGAGGAGCTCTCAAGTGGATATTGTGCACTTGATAGGCATGATTAAATATAATCTTGACTGAGCACTTTGAAGTTAACTGTCTTAACGGTTGTCTTTGCATGAGACACGAACATGCTTAATGTTGAGAGAGTTTGTGAGAGGCTATATTGTATTATTTGTACTACTTTATTTTTTACTTTTGCTGCGTCGACACAAGGGTTATATTTGACATTCAGAGTGTGAAATATATCAAATATACTTTTATTAACTACTTGACTAAAAGTAAAAAAAAAAAAAAAGAAGGAGTATAAGGGCTAAATGAAGCTTTTTGGATCTATAAAGCATCTTAATGCATAAGCAAAAATTAATAGATTCATTATCTTAAGGTTTAAAGGAAACTAACAATGACATAACTTTTGTACGGCGTTTACTTTGGTGAAATAAATTTTCAAGCGATTATATAAATGTCATAACTTTTGAAAAGAGATCATTTAAGTTACTTTGACAATTTTCTTGTTGGGAAATTCTATGTGCTATTAATTTTTAGCGAGTAGCTTCGGAGGATTCAATGTTGCACAAAGTATTTGCTTTCGTATAGATTTTCTTTCATTGTGACGATCCCCATATGTAAAGTTTAGAAGCTACAAAGTCTAACCCAGAGAACCTTATTTGCCATAAAAGGGGGCTTGGGAAAATTACCAAAAATGTCTTAAACCTATTGCATGGATGTCAATTCCGTTCTAAAACTTTCAATTTGGCCAATTTAATCATTCCAGTCAATTTTGGTAAGACATTACTGACGTTGACGCCAACAGTGCCACATAAGACAGTCGGCGTCAACGTGGGCAATTTTGGTAATTTTTAAAAATTATTTAGAGTTTGTTTTTTTTTTATTGTGGCCGATGAGGGCAGCCGGTGACCCTCGCCAACTGCTGGCCACCCTCGCTAGATCTCTATGAATGCTGCCTCACCCGAGGCCAGCAAACCCTCACCGCGCTGGCCACAATGACTAAAAAAATTAAAAAAATTAAAAAAATTCAACAAAAGCTTAAAAAAGCTGTAAAATTTTCCACACTAGCGCCGGCCAGTGGCCATGCCACGTAGGACGGCCAACATCCACGTCAACGATTTTCGACCAAAATTAGCTAGAAGAACTAAATTAGCAATTTGTCAAAAGATTTGGACTAAATTAGTCAAATTGAAATATTTATGACTAAATTGACATCCATATAATAGGTTTATGAATTTTTTGGTAATTATCACTTGATCATTCACTTTCGGGCGAGGACTCAACTCAAACTAAATCAAGGTTGTCGCGACCTAAAATTTTCTCATTTTTCGGGCTAATGGATTATTAAGACTAATCTTAACTCGGGCCTTCCCAAGCCCTACCAATTCGCAACTTAGAGTTTAAGTTTTTAACATGCAAAAGTTTTTATGCTTGGAGTCGCCACTAATCAATTTATGGTAGGTTGATTAGAAACCTAAATAAAACATAGGGAGATATGTTTTATTCCTACGAACCAGAGATTCTAAGCCCGGGGACTTGATTACGCTAGATCTGGTCTAACGCCCTTTCGGTACCTTTTCTTTTCAAAAATATTTTGGCAGGCAGTTTGGATCCATTTCAACTTAGTTACTAACATGTGAGGTGTTCATGCGAGTGCGCAAACCACCAATTTAACACCCAGAAAGCATTAAATAAATTGCAAGTTTGGAAGAATTACTTACCTGGAAGCAACGTAAGCATCTGCATTATTAGCTAGAAAATCACATTGACACCCTAATATGATTTCTAATTAACAAGCAATTCACTCAATTTCTTTTTTTGGATTTTCACTTATTTAAATGAAATCTAGCCTATATGCAATGACATGCGAAAATGACATGCGATTAATGCAACCTAGCATGCAAACTATATGTCATGCGACGACGTGACCTATTTCTAATGACAAGACGAATGATTATTTTTGGTATTTTCTCAATTTAAATTCGGAATAATAAAAATGCCTAAATTAACATGCAAACTATGATGACTTAATCTACCCTAGCATGATTTCTTTTTAGGATTTTTGTTAAAATTCGAAATAATAAAATAACCTGAATAATCTATTAAGATTAGAATATTACTTAATTTAAACTAGGAAATAGATCATCTCAAGTCCTAATTTAAATTAAACAACTACTCTATCTTCTAGATATATTTAGGATTCCTAGACATGTGAAAACTCTAATTCAAATCTAATTAGTATATTTTTTTTGAATTTCTGTTTATTTGAAAAAGGAAAGCAATTAAATAAATAAGGATAGCAACCACATTCAAAACGTCCACGGGATCCGCCATATTTGTTTCAAACTCGGATTAGGCACAAAAATCAAACTATCGGTCATATCTATAGGGTTATAGATATCGACGGAAAGCCGATTATTCAAATTTGGAAAGCGGATAAAAATCATTATCGTACCCAAGTGGTTATGGATAGGATAATAATTTTCTGTATCGCCGCGTATCGAATCTTAGGGATAAGGTCGGATAGTCGTCCAGATACGTTGCTGAATTAGGAAGTTTTCCTAATTTTGAATATTTAAAAATATTGCGGATATATCGAACATTATCCTAAGATATCTAAATATCCACATGATATTCACGAAATATTCAAACACCCATATTAGGAAATTAAATATTCTGAAAATATCGGATAATGTTGAATTACCTAATTTGCAGATAATTCCCAAATTCGAATTGTGGATCGGGATCGGACTCGGACGACGGGCGACTCGGCGTCGTGGATCACGAGCAGCTCGTCAGTGTCGCGGTGAGGGTAGGAGGCAAAGCAATTCGCTGGACAGAGCACCGAAACGCTTGCAGGCTGGACTCGCCGAGGGATGCTCTTGAAGAACACGTTGGTGGCTCTCTCGGTGATGCTTGATCTCTTCGATTTGTCGATGGGTAATTGCCGAGAAGAAGGAAGGACGCCAGGTGGTCTTGAACTTGCGTTGACTTAGACCGCCTAAAAACGATAAATTGCTCCTCCACTTATTTTCTCTTCTCTTCCGTCACTCTTCCACTTCCTTGTAAAGACCACCTCTTTGACTGATGACGCCCCTTGGATTTGTGCTGTGTATTTACGTGCTGGAGGATGCTAACAGGACGCGAGAGAGCGTAGGTCCTGGACTGTTTCATTGGGTGCTCACCAGACTCGCTGATGTCGTCAAGAACCAAAACTGGGCTGGTCTGGATCGACAAGGAAGCTGTGGGACAGCCAAATACGCTGATGGCTGTGAGGCGCGGCTGCAGGGAGGTCTGGACACAGCAGCGGCAACTCACGGATGTCATTGGATCGGCGTGGTAGTGGACGTCGGGCAGCGGCGGCGGCAAGCACGACGTAGGCACAGGCGATGTCGCGGAACAGCAGCAACAGGGTCCACGCGGTACGATCGCGAGGCGACGCAGCTGTGAGGTGAGCGCCACCGACTCTCTCTCTCTCTCTTACTCTTACTCTCGCTCACGTGTGTCTCTCAAAAATCGTGTTCTGAAAATTGTGAGAGCCCTAAAATCCTGACCTAATGATGTATATATAACACTAATCTAGGTCAATTAGATGGGCTCTCTAGTCCTAATGGGCTTAGGCTTGGGCTTAGATTTTAATTTAATTTAAATGGGCTGAATTAATTAAGGATAATGGGCTGAATTAAGCTCAAATTAAAACAACCGAGCCCGTTTGACTTGTAATTCCCGGCCCTTGCATTCCAAGCGAGCCGAGTCCCATTCGATGAAATTTAAGCTCGTTCGTCACCGCCGGTCCGATGCAAAATGCAATTAATCTAAAATGAATTTAAACTATATGTTATGCAACCTAAATATTTTTGTTTAGGGGTTAAAAATTTAATCCCTAATTTTCTATACAAATTATGACTAAATGATACGCCAAAATTTAGGTGTCAACAAAGGTTAATATCATTAAAATCCCAAACTAATATCTCTATGACATTTCTATCACATTATTTTCATCTCACAAAAAACCCAAATTGATACCTCATGACACATTTTCCACCAATCAATTTTCATCACAAAAAAACCCTAAACTGATACCCCATTATAAATTTACCCCAAATAATTTTTGTCTCTCAAACAACCCCATAATTAAAATTTTATATCATCATCATTATCATCATCATCAGTGTGTTAAATAAAAGTTGTAACTATCAGTGTGGTGGATGGAGGAAAAGGCTGGCGCTAATAGTCAGTCAATGACTCAAAGACGGCTATGTGTGATTAATTTAACAAAAGTTGTAACTATCAGTGCGGTGGATGGAGGAAAAGGCAGGCACTAATAGTCAGTCAAAGACGGCTACGTGTGATTAATGATTAGGATGCAATAACTCATGATACACGTTGGGAGGCATAATCCTATGATTTGATTACTTTAAGCTTTTTTTTAATGTTTCATTTGTTACACAAAAAATAAATATTTTAGAAAATATTTTTTTAAGATGATCACTTGTATTACTTGAAATAATTAATTAGTGAAAAAAAATTTCATTATCGGCATCAATTTATATCTAAACATTTTCGTAGATAATGAAAATATTTTTCGTTTATTCATTTTTATAAATGATATAAATTATTATTTTTATAAAAAAAATATTTTTAATA